AAGGGTGAAACATGCCTGCAGGTTTGCAGCTGGATTCTCAAATACTGCTACTTCAGGGAATGCTCTAAAAAGATCAAGTCTGAGGTTTGCTCAAAATGCAAAGAAATACTGTGTAAAAACTGATGGTGTCTACCAGCTATGTAGAAAACCACATGGTTGATGAGACATACAGCTATGAATGTTGCTTACATAAATGTGATTATACATGAGTAAAAATAAAGACATACACGTTTTATTAATAGGAGATGAAGGCTCTAAGAGATTGGCAAATGAGGTCTTTTGTGCTGTAGCAAGAAATGCCAGTGAGTCAAATGAGATTACCAACAGGGCAGACCCCAGGTCTCAGAGAATCTGAATGACAACTTTTGCTTGTGCTCTGTGCTTCTTGAGTTACAAAATCATTGTTTGTCAAGTTTATTTCTACGCTGATGTTTCATTTATGAAGAGGCAGGAGCACCTTTCAAGCTCAGTTGTTCTTTTTGCCTGCTCTCATCTATTGAATTTGTCTATAAAATGTTGGTGAGGTCTAGAGATTGATCCCATCCTCTTTGTTCTGTAGTTGAGGTTTTTTTTTGGTCATATTTCTTCACTGATGCAAAATGCACAAAAACATTCAGATGGTTTCTCCAAGGTAACACTGATTTTCATGGCACACCTGGAGGAACTAGGGCTTATATAAATCTTTCCCAGGCTTCTAGCGTAGGGATTGTGCTGGTTAGAATAAAGTAGATGTCTTTTCACGCACAGCTGCATTCTCTTGGACAAAAAAAGTAATTTTTTGAAACTGATGTTTTCTGTCCTTAGTTCTCAACAGTTTGCTGAAGCTGAGCATTTTACATATTAATGATCCATACTTTTTAAAATGTTAGAAGAGGGAAAATTCGTCAGTCAGACTTTTTAGTCAGAGAAGAGAATACAGAAAATAAATTTCAAACCACTTCTCCTATATTAGGTAGGAAGAGCTTGATTCATCAACATTTTGACTTTTTGTTTCTGGCACACCATCATTTCTCTTTGAATTCTGGAAAAAATCATCCGTTTCTGTTTGCAACTCCATTTTCAGTTGACATAACTGCAAATTTTCAAGTGGAATGTTGCAATCAGACCTTCAACTCAAAAATTTGATCACGTCTCTCTGCTGGACTTTCATAAGTCTTACCAGAGCCTGCCTTGGAACAAGCTGCCCAGGAAGGTTGTGGAGTCACAAGCCCTGGAAATGTTCAAAAGACACATAGAGGTGGCTCTGATGGACTTGGCTAGTGAGTATGGTGGGGATGGTCTGGGATTGGACTTGATGAACTTCGAGGTGTATTCCAAACTTAAGGATTCTGTGATTCTGGGAAAAAGGACTCTGTACCTTGGCTACAGGCAGTCTCTATTTCTTTGTTTTGACACCTTCCAGCAGATCTACTGGATTCACTAAGAGTCATTTTAATTCACAAAACTAGTTTTTAATTTAAGGAGAGCAAAAAAAGCTGAGTTTCTAAATGCATGAAAATCTTTTATGATAAAGGCAAGTACTTCATCAAGCACCCTGGAACTAGTTCAGGTGTTGGGCTGCGGAACTGACTTCTCTGCAGACTTTCGGCATGCAGTTTGCTCTAATTTTGTCATGACATCTGCATGTAGACACTCAAATGTATAGGTCCACTCAAACAACGTATTGCTCAGATTGTGTCAGGATATTGGATTGCCAGCTTCAGTAAGTTTTAAGCCAAAAGGGAGCAGGATAGATTTTGGTGCTTGCTGGCAAGCAGAGGAAATTCCTAGGCACCTCCGGCTTATATGGATCAACGTTGA